TAATCAAAATCTCCCTTCTATCAGTCACACAATCAATGCAATGATTAATAAAGGAAATTCAGGTATGCAAAAGTTATTGTTTGATTCGTTTGCTTTTATCTTTTGGCATTTGTTTTTTTCTCTCTCTAAGGTTCTATGACTGGAAACGGTATTAACACCCCGTTCTGGACGCAACTGAGAAATGGGCTTCCAGGAGTACCAAAGAGTCAAATCAATTTCAAGCGTTTTGCACGTTTTTTAAGTTTCACATTTTGCATTTCCATTTCAGTCAAGAGCTAGGGACAAGGGGTGGCGGGGCGGACTGTCGCTGGTAAATGGCCAACGAGCAGGCCAATAAATTCAGCTAAAGCGACGCATCAATAAACCGTTAAATAGCGGTAACAATTTCTTTGGTTTAGATTTTTCTTTTCTACTTTTCTACTTTCCTTTTTTTTTTTGGCTTTTGAAGTTTTTGGCGCCCCCTGATTTATGTGTCTCTGATGTCTGCGATTTTTCAAGCTCGGGTAATTTGATTTTTGCATACAGTTTTTTTTTTCTCTTTTCGGTTAGCCCCGATTGGCCAACTAGCTAGAGAAGACAAAGGCAGCTCCCAGCGACCCATCGACACCTGCCCCGCCTGCGGCATCGAATTCGATTTGCCAATTTGATTTGTATCTTCGTAATGGAATTTGCTTGTGCACAATTGTTAGCGGCTGCCCATCTGCAGAGATACATGAGCATTTGCAGCACAGCTCAAGTTTCTGAAATCTCGCCTCTGTGTGCCACACACGTGCACAAGTGCAGCTTGTCACGCCACCTGGCGGTCAGATTGGCTCGCACGCATGTTTGATTTGCTGTTAAATAGCAGATTATTCGAGCGTACAAATTCCTTGTAGTTGGCAGCACTTGTACGCCATCGTCTTCGGCACGAAAAGAGAATTTGAAATGAAAAAGTATATACACATGTATAATACATATTAAGAATAGTTTTTACTGAAAAGAGAATTATAGAAGGAAATGTGCGTGTAGCCAATTCGATTACATTCTGTGAACTGCAGAGGAAATTTCCACAAAGATTTATATACGATATATTTTGATGTAACTCAGTAGAGACAAAAGTAATATGAATATGAAAATACTATGTTTTGACTGATATTGTATAGGATGTAGTAAATTATTATATAGTAAGGTTATAGCTACCACATTAACAACTCTACCCCATGTTGTCTTTTCATGAATCAATTCATCCATCTGCGGATGGTTTCTAGCTTCAAGAACTTTACAGCAATCTGGTAAACATCTATATTTTTGTTTTTATACTCCATATTATACACAAATCATTTCAAAAATATTCCCACAGATCATCTGTCGTACCTACATAGGTATGATTTCCGGGTCGGTATCGCTGATGTGCGGCGAGAACGAGAGGAGTTTGGTGCGGGCAACGACCGTCTCTCAGTGTCCCCTTGTTGAGGATCCGCAAATTGTGTTGGTTAGCTATGCGAAGCGCTATATGGATATAGCCCGTCTGATACGATTGCGGTTCATAGCACAGGTGTGTCCCAAGCTGCGCGTGGAAGCCCTCGAGCTGGCCATCATTCATGTCAAGAAGACGTACAATGTCAAGATGTACGAGGAGCTGTACCGCACGCTCTGCACTGAGCGGGAGCGCAGCATGAGCATGGCCGAAGCCGAAGCCGGAGCCGGAGCCGAAGCCGATGAAGAGGCCTCGTCCAGTTCGGGCACTGCCTCCGGTCAGGCTGGCAAGGCCAAGAGGGAGGGCGGAGAGGCGCACCAGTACGACGCCTACTGGGTGGAGGACAACACGATGGAGGCAACGCTGCTGCTGCAGGAGCTCGATGCTGAGCTGAACTTTAAGAAATCGAACTCGGGCAGCGCCTATGTGCGTCGCGTTCTGGAGGAGATTGGCGACTACCACGTGAAGAGCGGCAATCTGCAAATGGCCGTCAAGTTCTACGCCCGGGCCCGGCCCTATTGCACCAGCAGCGACAATGTGATCGATATGTTCCGCAATCTGATACGAGTCTCCATTTTCATGTCCAACTGGTGGCATGTGCTCAGCTACATTGACGAGGCCAAGCAGTATGCACTGGGCTATCCCAACCTGGCGCGCTCCGTGCCCGCCCAGCTCAGCTGTGCCGCTGGCCTGGCGAACATGGGCCTCAAGATCTACAAGACGGCCGCGCACTGCTTCCTGTTGACGCCCTACGATCAGTACGACTACAATATGATCGTGGCGCCCCAGGATGTGGCATTCTATGCGGGTCTGTGCGGTCTGGCCACGCTGGAGCCGGAGATGCTACGGCTGGGCTGCCTCACTTCCGAGAAATTCAAGCCCTTCTTGGCTCTGTCGCCCATCATGTGGGACATATTGACTAAGTTCTTCAACAACGAGTTCGATCACTGCGAGCGCCTGCTGCACGAGCTCGAGAGTCGCGTGCGATTGGACATCTATGCGGCGCCGCACGTGGATGCGCTCTATAGCAAGATCCAGGCACGCATTCAGGACAGAAGACTGACCCACGTTGCACCCTCCACGGAGAGCTCAGCCACATCGTTGCTAGAGACGAGAGTTACGCAAAAAGAAACGAGCATCTATTTCAAAGACGATTTGTAAGCAACAAGAAAATTATATTTCTGTTAAGGACTTGCGTGAGGGGGAGACGAAGTTGATGTGCGTTGACTTTATGGACTAACGAGTTGTACTCTATGGAAATTACATGTTTACTCTTCGGATTCCGTTTCCAAATTTCGTTCGAATTCAGTATAATAAATGGCAGCGCAAAAGAAGAAACATGTGAAAATGTAGGCAGGAGAGGGGCGGCAGATCTCTAGCTATCATATATGTACATATATATGTATGTATATACTCCCTTTAGATATCATAGATATGTTTGTTGTATATATGTTTACTTGATAAGCACAATGAGTATATATGTATGTATGTTTTATATATATGACTCCCCAAGCAGAAGAAGAGCTGTGTATGTGTGCTTAGCGATAATCTTTGGTCTGGAAAGTACTCTAGCTTCGCGATCAACGATCGTGTGTAAAGGAGCTCTGAGAGTGGCGCCTATGGCTGAGTTTGAGTATGAGTCTGAGTGGGAGACGCAGCCTA